CCCATGCCATCCCTTGCCTGTTAAAACCCATCTTCAGCAGCATGAAGGCTCCGGCAGCAACTTCGATCGGATCGTCCAAGGGAAGCAGACTCGGCACGAGCACCGAGCGAGGCATCCTATCGCCACCGAGGAACCCACGTTAAACAAGGAGGGCCTTTCCCTCCCTTCTGTTGTAAACATTTGATTCATTAGTTTGTAATAAGCTGTTCTTATCAATACGAACGAAGTTCCCTGTTTTCGGGAGATCAAAATTTACACCTACAGTAATCGACCGAAGATATAATGAATTCCATGACAAAACCAACTTTTGAACCAAACAATTTATACCCACCATTACCCCCACCAAATTATCCTACCAAATTATGCAACTTCATAATATTATCCATCATTATCCCATCAAATTATCCTACCAAATTATCCAACTTTAAGAATTACCCATCATTGTTCCACTAAATTATCCCAGTGTAAAAAAATTATCTCACTTTATTAATTATCCCAAATCTACTTAAAAAGTTCTAGGTGACTAACCCCCCTAAAGAACTCCAACCAAGATGACTAAAAAACTTAATGTAAGCAACAACTGATAATAATCTAATAGAGACATTTAGAACCCCAAGAAACAAAGATTTCTTCCAACGTGCATCACAAGGTCACATGTGCCGCTCTCTCTATACAATGGAGGACACAGGCATTGTTGTTGTATATAGTTTGTTAGCATGTAGTTTTCAAATTGGCCGGGGGGGGGGGGGGGGGGTGGGGTTGGTTGGGGATAGTGAAGCAAAGCTATGTGGAAATGCATTTCTCCACTTGTTTGCTTCAAAAAGGCCCAAGATGCTTGTGGGCATAAAATGTTGTGTGGATGTGAATCAAATGGAGGTGGCATTTGTTCTTCAAAGAAGTGGATTATGTACTATGAAGATTTCAGGGATCCAGTTCAATGTACATGTGAGTGAGAAGTAAAAACAAAGATGTTGCTATTTGGAGGGTTAATTTACATGAGAAAAAGAGGGCTTAACTTGATTGGAAACTAAAAGATTACATAAAGCATTTTGACATAATTAATAAGGCTTTATGGTTTTCCATCCCCTATACGCATCTGGTTTGCTTCTTATTTCCCTATTTCTGTGGGTATTTTGGAAGACAAACAGGATAACAAAGTGCACAGAAAACACAACCAGGCATAATGCATGTAAATTTCAGAGGTTCTCAAATAAGGGGATGTTTGCTTGCCAAAAAAAAGAAGGAAATCAAGGAATAGGAAACCTATTTCCTTAAAAAATTGTTTTATGGTTGTTTGGTTGCCTAAAAAAAGAAGGAAATCAAATAATAGGAGATGAGTTGTCACAATATTATTGGATGATGTAGGTATTTTTTTAAGAAAAGTTGTTTTGAGGTTGTTTGGTTGGTTAAAAAAGAAGGAAATCAAAGAATAGGAAACATATTTCTTATAAATAGGTTCTTCTCTTGTGTTTGGTTCATTCTTAAAAATAGGAGATGAGATGAGATGAGATGAGTTGTCATTATATTATTGGATGATGTGACCCACACTTAAGGAAATCAATTTCCTTGTTTTTTTGGAGGAAATGGGTGGAGATGAAATGGAGATGAGATGAGATGAGTTGTCACAATATTATTGGATGATGTGGGTGATTTTTAAAGATGAGATGAGATGGAGATGAGATGAGTTGGATGATGTGACCCGTTTCTTTTATTTGGTTTATTTTATTGGATGATATGAGATGAGTTGTTGGATGAAAATAATATTTTATTGGATGATGTGGATGAGTTGTTGGATGAAAATAATATTTTATTAGATATTGTGGGTAAGTTTTAGGGATGGAAATGGTGGAAATTGAAATTTTGGAGATTTCCAAACTCCAATTTCCTATTCTTAGGTTTTTGGAAACCAACCAAACAGCCCCTAAAATTAGATAGGGTTGTTTGAACATATACCCCTTAAATCATAGATATTTTCAAAAACACCCCTCGAATCTAGGTATTTGTCAAATTACCCCTCGAATTATCAACTTTGGCAAAAAAATGCCCCTAGAATTAACAAATTATCAACTTGATGAGTATAGAATTGACAAGTACATTGATAAATTTTTACATTGCAGATGCAATTTGTCCTATAAAAGTTGACGATTGATAGATCTGGGGGCATTTTTCCAAACTTGATGATTTGAGGGGCAGTTTTGTAAATATTAAGATTTGGAGGGTAGGTTTGCAAATATCATGATTTAAAGGATATATATGCAAATAACCCTTAATTGTTGTGATATTTTTTTTTCAAAACCGATGATTTTAGGGGTAGTTTTGCAAATGAGGGGCAGTTTTGTAAATATTAAGATTTGGAGGGTAGGTTTGCAAATATCATGATTTAAAGGATATATATGCAAATAACCCTTAATTGTTGTGATATTTTTTTTTCAAAACCGATGATTTTAGGGGTAGTTTTGCAAA